ATTCCCTGTTCTTGTTCCTTAATTTCTTGACCTCCTCCCTCTAATCCCCTAACATCCTTCTCTAATTAAATGCCCTCTTCTGACAGAAACCACATCTTAAGCTTTTCAAAACACGATAAATTGTTATAGTCGAAATTGAGAAAAAAAATAATACATACAATTGGGATGTCATTGATATCAAATATTGTTATTTCAGAAAAAGAGTGTTCAAATGCTACCAACCTGATAACTCGAGATCGTTCATTATGGTATAGTAGTTACAATGACATAAAATGCGATCTTGGACTTCAAAATGGCTGGTACAGATTTACTGGTCATGCAGGAACTGAAATCGCCACGTCATGTGTTGCAATGCATCACTGTGGTACCCAGTACCCTGGTTGGCTTCTTGGTAGCCATCCTGCAGCCACAGATGGACGGGTGAACAAGACAGTTTGTTTTACTAAAGACAGCAACTGTTGTTACTGGTCTACCAATATCACTGTGCGTAACTGCAGCGGGTTCTACGTCTATGAGTTTAAAAAGAATCCTAACTTGTGTCCCTACAGATTTTGCGGCCAGGCAGGTAACGATAAGTTCTAAAACAGTATTGATTTTGGAATTCTGTGGAGTTATTGTTTAGGGTTTAGTTACGTTATAGATCACATTGAGGCAGGCTATCTATYTATCTCACTTTGGCCAGAATTGGATGTAATTCGATAACCCGATATCATTCGATATTCGACATTAATCTGATGAGCGAGCATAAAGCTTTATTTAACATATAAAACACATTTGCTGTTAGCACTAGAGTAATATGGTAATTATTTTATAATGAACCAAGTTGTTTCTCTGGTTTGGAATAAGTGTTTTGGTTGAAATAGTCCGTACTCGTCCGAATGGACTTTAAAGTTCACATGCTGCTCTATCCTCGTTCACTCGTTCTGTAGTCATTTCTCCATCGGACCTTTTAGCAACATGCTCTTTTACGGAGTTTTTTAAAATATGAAATGTTATATTRTTATATGACTGTTAACTTAATTTGTATTTTGGTATACAGTCTGATTGACTTGCGCATGAACTGTGTTTTRCGTATCAACGACCACGGGCGATATTCTTGTCAGGACCAGCGTCCCRGAYGAAAAAAAGCGTATTAGATTCGTAACTTCCAAAAGGTATTCAAAATGGTTTGAAAGGATTATTTTTTTAAACACACTCAAAACCAAGATGTGATGATTRCTCAAAAGAAAATGCTATATAGTTTATGAAAATTAAACTTTCGATTACTTTCGGTTACTAGAAAAAGAAGTATACAAATACATATGAGACTTAAAGTGCATATGACGCCTGACAGAAAAAAAATCTGATTCTTTGTGAGCTGATTCTATATAAAATAAATAATTGAATGGTGAAATATTCCTGCATTTCATGTCAGTGTTGCCTCTTTGAGTAATGAAGGTTCAATCTTACAATATTTTAATGAAAATGAAGTCAAAGAAGGCTTCATTAGATATACAAACTTAGAAGGAGTCGCTTAAAAAATGGTTTTATGGYATTAAATTTATTGTACGCAATGTAGGGAGTAACCATATTCYCAAATGGCGTTCATGAAAACACTTTTGAGTGGCTGTTTCAAAGTTCGTATTTCTAATGAAGCTTCCCTTACTAATATTTTAACGCAAACAGCAACTCACAGACAAGTGTGGCGGAAAATGGAATAATGTCATGGCAATGAAGTCTTTTGCGATTTTGTTGTGCAATGTGAGAGYGAATTTAGTAAGAATGCATGCTGGTATACGTCAATAATTGGAGCTAAATGCTGATATAGGCACTTTGAATTGATTCTCYTAAGTTCATTTATGTCTAACAATTTGATTGATAAGAGGGGAAAATGCTTCTGTGAAATTAACAAGCCATAATTYTCCTTTTAAGATGTACTCTCAYACATTTCTTMAGRRGGATCMGCMATGTGCGCGAGTTGTGATTGTTTGTCTAAAAATAGATTATGAGGACACGTGATGATGACTAGATTACTAGGGAGATGGACACTTCTTGTTATGCACCTTTGTCGTTATCCAATTTCAAGAAATAAGAAATAAATGCTAATTTTTTCATATTAATCTTAGCTGGAGATTGTYTTGATAAAGCTGGAAACGTCTTCTCGAAAGGCCAAGTTTTTGACACAAACAACCTACARAAATGCKTTTGTCGTCAAGGCAACAWCCTAACGTGCTCAAAACCAGCTGATGGTTGCTGGGACTATGATGGAATTGCACATGACTTTCAAGATGTTTGGCTGTTGAGAGACGGAAAGACGGTTTGCCAGTGTACTTTAGATGGAGCTTCATGTGTAACTCAGTCAGGTCGCGTGTGCATTGATGACAAGAAGCTAGTAAGAAAGCAAGGAAGTACTTGGTTTATGTCAAACTGTACCAACTGTACTTGTGTGGAAGGAAAGGTTGTTTGTACACAACATGACATAAAAGCATTCTATGGTCGTACAGTTGTGAAGCGGCAAACGTGTTACCTTGAAGAAAACCCAGTTTGTTTGACTGGAAACGAGACATTTASAAACAAAAGAGATTGTAAAGGTATGATGGAAGAACCTATAGTAGGTGTTCACATGCTAACTACATGCTCTCGGTGAAAAAAAATTATGGAGGGTCCTTTTCACTTCTAAGACGGAAAGAAAGCTCCCCGCTCTTGTTCACCGCTTACCGTCAATAGCAAATCTAGAATCATTCTATTCACATAATATGGCGATTAAAAATTTAACTGTGGAACATGGCCAGAAAATCCGGACATACGAGCCCGCAATAGCAGCGGTACTTCGCATAAAKCAAMAAAACATGTTTGGCAAATTTTACAAAGAAATATACGGATCAAAAAACGATATTTSAGAATAACGTTTGATCTGTATTACCTGGAACGTTTTCCAAGATGAAATCCTAGAGGGAAACTATTCTTGATCCCACTGTAGGAAAGCCAAATAAACACGAAATTGTTAAGACCGCCCTTTTTRAAAATTTTCTTTCACTTTCGGCATCTCCTTTGCCCTTGAAAATMCGCAATGAAGCGAAATGTCACAGTAGCTGTTCGTGTTTCCTTACATGTCACTGATTTTTCAAATATCATTTCTCAAAGTCCACACATTGAGCTACAAACACTGCGATTTTCAGCTATTTTGAAGACGATAAACAGCGTCCATTTTGGTACTAGAAATCGTATAATTTAAAAACACTAACGGTGAAATGGCTGGCGACGATTTGTGTTTCATGCGAAGAATTGGCCTCGATCTTCCATTTTATTTTAACTTCATCTGCCATGTTTGGTACCAAAATAAACCTTAGAAACGCGGCTTTCAGAATGAGACTGCTAATTTTGGCGGTCTTTACTGGCGCCTCGCCCGCACTTGTAAATGTCGGGAAATACGAGCAAAAGATGGACCAATCAAGTCTACGCTATTTAGCGTAAACAATGTCAGACCTTTTAAAAACCTTAGAAATTTACAAGTATAAACAAAAGATCACAATATCAACTTATCATTGTCTAAAATACGTGAGGCAAACGTGTGTTCCAGCACTGATAATATTATTTATACTATTAACATTCCAAACGAGCAACTCAGAAGCTGGTATGAACTCAAGGATCAGGGCATGCTATCCCAATACTCGTTTGTCGATGTTTTGAACGTTTTGATAACCCAGTATGGTAATTAAGATAAAGGATCGTTGCACAACAGTAGAAAATTTGATCTTCAAAAGTTCAAGCCTTATCAAGGGAACCTGTAAAGAAAACCCGCTGTCTYGTCCCGGGCTCAAATGTCCGAAATTTCTGGCCATGAGGAGTTTGTTGTAAGCCTTTACAACAAAAAGCTTGGATTTTTATCTAAAGAATCGGCTATCAAAAGAATTCTAATGGCATATCTAATTGTCAATTTGATAATTTTATAAACCGGATAGTCCCTTTCCCTAATTAGGTCTTCTATTTGCAATTTTTCTTTTTCGATTCAGGATCACGCTTACAATTGTCGACGTGGTTCGCCCTTCTTCTCAAAACACATTGTTTTGTTGTTGTTGTTTTTTTCTGCTCTTAATCATTTATTTATATATGTACTTTACTTTTCAGTCTATTTTATGAACGTAAAGCATTATTATTTTTGGTGCGACAATCAGATTGAAGTTATACCCAAAAATCACAGATGTAATGCCGCTGCCGAATGTACCGATGGCTCAGATGAGAAAAATTGCGAAAATGGTAAGCTGATTATTTATCAATATCTGTGAAGGAAGTTGAACAACACTGTTCAAGTTTTTTGAGCTATACGTCAAATTCTTAAAATTTTTTGTCTATTTTTTTCGTGGCAGATGTTTGTAGCGACGGCAATGGCAAGATGGTCATTAYAGMCSGCAAAAYATTACATGTTTCACCTTGCTTGACATGCATATGTAATAACTCAGTTCTTTTCTGCCAAAAAAGTTTAAGTGTCATTTTTCCAGCTTTTGGAGGCAGTTATGTAAAGAATCTGTTAACATGTGATTCACAAACTTGTGATATAACATCATTTGTGCAAGACAGTTTCTCATGCCAAGGTAAGTTACATGGTTATATTTGCATTACTGCACGAGATCGATTCTTTCATTTTGGGGGACTAGTGCCTACAGGGAGAAGATCRTGATTCGCGTAGTGTCCGATAGGTTGTTTCCATGCCAACTCATTCGTAACCGACGAATCTTAGGATCTCATCGGATTGATATCGACAGAGTTCTGCAAGTGCTCCCGACGGGACTTACGACTTCAAACAAATTTAGTCATGTTTTTACTCTATTTCCTATCAAAAACCAGGCTCAATTAACTTTAGGCATTGCCAGAAATTTGGGTAATTGACCAGCGGTTTTCTTGGGCTCAGATACTGACGATTTTATACGTAAAATGCAAAAAATTTGATCAAAACATGTCATTTTCGTTGTACAATTGCGTTATTATTGTGATTTATATTTCAGAATAGCAGAATAAGAAATTTACTTTCTATAAAGGGACCCGTAATGTCCAAAAACACGAAATTCGCCTAATTTTTAGAATCTTTCRCAGTAAAAAAGCTTGAAAACAAACATTTGAACTTAAAAATGATTGGAAGCCCTGTGTACAATCCCAGAAGGCACGGGGAGTTGATATTTAGTAACATGGCGGATCAAGAAGGTTTGGTGAAAGAGTTTCTTCATTCGATAATTTCCGACTCAAAGCTGGAAAACAAAATGGCGGTTCATGTACAAGGCAATTATTTGCAAAGTTTAGGGTCTTCAGGAAGAAAATTGACAAGTGATTCAGCGTTTTTTTCTGGCAATTTAGACAGTTTGAACACTGCAATGTTGTGTTAGACTACGTCTCCCTGACATTTAGTTAATACAATATTAATAAGTTAATAGTAGATTTCAGTTTTAAGAAAGATATTCAACAAAACTACTTAAAACATGGACAATAACACACACAACAACATGGTTAAACAATTGTGGAACAACTCGGCTACGCTCGGGCAACAAGTACAAAAATCAAATAACCACATTTATCACTAAAAGGATACTTTCCACGGAGCACGAGTAGGGTTCTCCACCAGTTTGTTGGACCACAAGGGACCGTCGCGGCAGTGAAAACGTACCTCTTAGTTTGTTCTTGTTCTTTATTTTAACACGGTTGCTTAATGATCTGAACTGGTTCAAATCTCTGGACTGACTGTTGACACGAAGTCGCGCGCTTACCGTACAGGATATTCTTCTACCTCAAACCGACTGATATGTACATGGACCTTGGACGATTTTAGTGAAAATGTATGAGAGATCTGAATGCTTAAGGTCCAATAAAACTGCCCAGGAAGAAAATCTGCTGTTTATTGTTAACCGTTGTTGCCGTGAGTACAAAGATTGAGCTATACTTTGATCATTTTTAGTCGCGCACCGAGTATACATAATGCTTTGTTTTGTCCACAAACACTGAAAAATATTCTTGGCCATACATTTCCTATACAAATTGGAAGCCATTTATTTTTGCGCGTTACAACGCATGCGCGTCGCCATCTTGCCCAAATTTCTGGCAATGGTGCCTCTATGAAGTGCGTGCTTTTATGAGTTTTTTCTAGGTTTTCTGAAGAATTGCTTTATACCTGTACAGAAAACAATCGAGGCGTCCAAGCATTCCAACCAAATCCTGTCGCTGTCTTCATGAATTAGCAACCTGCACCTGCTATCAAGGATCGTATTTTCTCGCTGCGCTCGGTCCGTACTCTCAAGACCTCGATCTGATATTTTACCATGAAGACYTCGCACTCGGTTAAAATAATAGACTACTTGCACACTGCTGGTTACTCTAAGTTTCGCTACGGGTTCCCTGTGTGCGAGCGTGCAATTTCTGTGGGGGATGAGCGGCCACTCGGTCTGGAAAAGGCCCACTGTCTTGTTATCTACTTCGACTTCGACTACGAGTAGATGTATGAGGTCTTCTAGTTTTAAGGGATTACAGGACAAATAAAATATCATCCGACAAGAGTTTGTCTTTTTCCGAAACTCCATCGGGATTGTGTCCCTGATGGTAGCCAAATGGATAAATGTGCTATCGTGTTGTTGTTGCTATGAATTTTCTTTCATAGGTTCTTATCAACTAAATACAAATATTAATATAGTTTTTTTTCCTTAAGTAAAATGTATCAAATAAAATCGAAATAACATCAAAAGCGGCTTGAAAACTTGCAATTACAGGCGTAAATGTGATCAAAAAAATATCTGGAATATTGAACATATTGTACWAGMMACATGCGTATTTTTTATATGTATTCATTRATCTATTGGCAGTTCAGACGTACTTTTGKCGCATCTTATYTAACTGCTRAAGTTTAGCTAACGGGCAGCTAGAACTTTGAATTAATTGRCTTTTGTTCAGAGAGATGTTCGAATTCAATATTTATAAGTTGTAAATATCAATTGAATTATACATAAAACATCTCATGAATTGCATGCAACCAATTAGACTTAAAAGCGGTGAAAGATCTACGTGTGAACAGGGGCTATCTGTATTTCATTAATTGGTCAGTTAGAGGTCTTTATTATTTACCAACACATTCGGTCATTGCTAATGTATCTATTTCTTTACATTTTCATTTCTATTCATCAATTCTTCACAGCAATCGAATTTCTTCCAAATCCAAATGGAAGAATCGGTGACACTAAGATAGTTGGAGATGTCTGGTTATACAAAGGATGCAACTTTACATTTACTGGCGTTGTTCCTAACAGACGTTGTCCAGATATGCCTAATGACTATTGCTATGTATACAATGGKGGGATATGCTGTGCGTCAAAATGTAAAGGTATGCCCCTGCAATGTTGAATTTCCTATTTTTAAGGCCTCGCGAGGAGTTGTATTCGCTTCGGTATTTACATGAAACTTGATCAAAAGTCACTATAGAAACATGAAATATACTCAACTAAAACTTGTTTTAGAACAAATATTTTTCAAGAGATATCCATATCAAACTTATTGTCATACATCGGGTGACATTTGCTTAGAT